GGAGTAAAGGAGGAGGAGTGATGTGCACAGGGCCGGCGACGACGAGTGATTTCTGCGGTAGTGCGAGTGCTGATGAACGCTGAGCAAGTATCTGAGAGTTGGCCTTTGTGGGGAGCAGGGCGCTTACCTGCACAACGGAGAGYGGCCACGTTGTCGACCGTGATCTCGATGTCGAAGCCATAGCAGTAGTTGACGACGAGCAGGAACGTGGACGCCCCTCCCGGAAGCTCGTCCAGCTTGGCCAACGTYTTTCGTGACGACACGTCGTGGACGGCTATGGCGGCGAAGAACTCCGTCTTCGAGTACAGCGGGAACTTGTGCACGTTGAACACCACGTCGCCCACCCGAACCACGAAGTCGCTCTTCATACCGGCCGCTCGATTCCACGACGCTTCCATGCCGCTTGGAATCACAGACTCCACCGACGAAGCTGGCGGCGGCGAGCCTGATGCCGGCAGCGATGGCGTCAAGGCGCCTGTTGCGTCCCCTTCGACTTTGCCGTTGACGGTCTCGGCGGGGAAGGCGAAGCACGGAAGAAACGGCGATGGAGGAGCCACGACCTCCGTCGCTGGAGAGGAAGGAAAGAGGTCATTGCTCTCCCGTACCGCTCGAGGTCGCACGGACCTTCCCATGGCCGCTGCAGATGCCACCACTCCACCAGCCATCGCTGTGACGATCCCCGTGCTTGGTCGACGTCCCCTTCTCAACGTACGGCCTGGGCTGGCCTGGTCAGCTACTCGTTGTTGGCCTACTCTTCGGCCGGAGAGCTGATTCAATACGGAATTGAAATCGCGGAACAGGATTCGAGCTGACGACGCGTTGAAATCACGAACAGAGAGAAGCGGTCACGAAGCGTGGTCAGGTCATTCCTGGGACGTCTCTCCTTTTGGGCAGCTCAGGCTCCGTGGAGCTTGCTCGCGACGGCCGTCGATGCACAGTCCCCCTCGCTCGCCTACTAGTAGCCGCCGTCCTCTTCCCGATGCCAAGTCTGTTGCTCTCAGAAACGGGAGGCGGTCTCTCTGTCAATCAAGATCGCTGTCCAGTACAGCTACGTAACCAGCTCGGATGACTTACTTATCTATTGCCTTTAACTAAAGAATAACACTTCTATCAATCACACACGTTTTTCAACCACGTTTATTAAAAGTCGTCATCAGCTACTTCCGTCAGCGAGTAGCAGCCAGTCATTCAGGCACAGGCGCAGGCACTGGCACAGGCACAGACACAGGCAGGCATATGCCGGCTTCTCGGTTAATGAGGAAGGAGTGATAGTGAATATATGGATATCCTACCGTAGGACTGAGTGCTTCAATGTAATGGTAAGACGGCCGTTATATATCATGCTTCCTAATACGCCATGCAGTTGTAGCCCTGAGGGCTTCTGTCCACTGACCACTTCAATATCCCGCTACCGCATAATCATGACCAATGATGCGGGAGATGTACGGCCGAGAGCTACGACTAGCACTCTCTCGCCTACCTAACGTTTTTCCCGAACGCAACGCACCCTCACCATGACAGCATCCGACCGGAAAAATGACTTGTCTACATGCAGAAACAAGGTGCGTTATGTTCGGGGGAAGACGGTAGTGTCGTAGTATAGCACAACGACACCTTATCCGACAGCATCGCCTCAACCACGATGCTCTTGTGCTCCTTGAGCGAGCCAACCAGCTAACAAGACAGCCGTCAACGTCCAAGTTTCCAACTTGACAAGACAGCGGCAGACTAAGCCAAACGGCACTTCATTTGATATTCGATTCGTTTGTTCATTTCTCTATCATAATGTACGCGAGCGTCTCGTGAGATCCATGCGTTCAATGCGGTGGTGTGGGGCCAGCTGACCTTAATGGCCCGTTGCACCACTCGCCATCCGCCCATATTCTGAATGCATGTGCACATGGACGCTGTCCAGATGCGTTCAAAATCTTGGCGGATGGTGAGCGGTACAACTACGCCCTATACCGTCCCAACCTTCGCGGGAACGGTGTATCCAGTGAAAGGAGACATCTCGTAGGGAATCCCGTCCCTTCGCGGGAACGTGGGTCTCGCTCCACTACCCACCAAATGTGCAAAATGAGAATGAATCTTCCCCTCGAAAATGGAAAGATGCACGGCCATGTTTTTTGTCTTTCGAGCATGTGGAGAGTAGTGGAGCGTCGCCGGATGTCTCCGGCGGTCAGGTGTCTCTTGGAATTCGTTGCTATACGGCTGCGGCTACTGCTGCTGAGCGTGTTATTCTCTTAGCCTGATTGCATCTGTATTCGAACTCGGGCTCTATTTCAACAGTTCCTGGGTGTACTGAGCTACATGGGGCCATTGGGCGGAGCGACGTATATGTGTGTGTGACGCTCTCCATTTTCCGCGGTCACTATCTGACTGAGGGGGCCAGAGAGTAGGGGGCGTTGTAATCGGGTGAAAGGATTTTTAGTGTTTCTTGAGCCTAAAAGGCTCACAAATCGTCCAGCGGCCTAACTCAATTGGTTAGGCACCTGCAAGTGGCATTCAGGACGTCCTGGGTTCAATCCGCATGGCCGCCTGCGGTGCCAACCAAGTGAGATAGTCAGCTGGATCCTACCAGTCTGTGTTAGTAAGGTCTTCAACCTTGACCAACACGGGTGTGACCCGTCTGAGTACACGTGTGAGTGCACGTGTGAGCGGATTGCTTGTGGTTTGTGGGAGAGTGTTGGCTTTAGAAACTACTGCTACTGGATAGAGGTGGGCGAAGATGGAAAGGGAGGGACAGTTACTGCCAAATGCTCGGTCCTGGTGTTAGCCGCGCTCCCACTGGCGGCCCCAACCCTGCGCCCTAAAGCAAGTGGGAGTCCTACATGGTGGGCCAGGCCGTCAGATCCTTTCATAGAACCGACAGCTAGAGGAAACCGTCCAGCAGCCCCGGCCAGCCCAATAACTTGCGCTGCCAATGGTTGGGCTCTCTCTCTCTCTCTCTCTCTCTCTCTCTCTCTCTCTCTCTCTCTCTCTCTCTCTCTCTCTCTCTCTCTCTCTCTCTCTC